TATATATATATATTTCTTTTTTAAAGAGAAAAAGTTCATTTTGACAATATTAGCCACTATATCCATTGCCTTTGTGGAAAAGAATTGCTTCTGGCCTTTGCTTCCCTGGAGGTGCTTCATTGATTTTAGCAATGTGGGCTTTTTTTAAAAAAAAATGATTATGCATTTTTTCCTATAAATTTGAAATGACATTTTAAATTAGAAAATGTATCCCACTGTAAATGTTGTTAATGGGCTTATAAAAATCTATGTATGCTAAATACTGAATATATGCTAGATTAATATGTATTTTAATATGTGTATTAAGTGCTCAATAAATACTAAAAGCTATAATTATGGGTGAGATAATATTTTTTAAGTAAAACATGCTTTACAAAAATGTCTTTAAACATTACTAGATTAATAGCACTTTACATACTAAAGAACAATAGTTTTATCTATTTACTTTGCACCTAAATACACATTTTTATAAAAGGAATTGTTACATTTCAGATACAAACAGTTATTTTTTTTTTTCTATAGGACTTTGGAGACGATGGGTCTTTGTATATTACTAAGGTTACCACGACTCACATGGGCAATTACACCTGCTATGCAGATGGCTATGAACAAGTCTTTCAGACTCATATCTTCCAAGTGAATGGTAAGAAATGTGGTGTTGCTGTAATGCCTTTTGGCTTCACTAGATATTCACACAGTATCACAGTTGACTAGGAAGACAAATTTTCAAATTTTTTGAGTTGTATTAATTCTTCACATTTCTGAGTTTTGAGATCTAGTATAAAACTTTTAAGAACAGTGACCAAGAGTATTATACCATTTTTTCTCTTCATGAAATACATAATAATGCCTTCTAATTGAAATTTGAAACTATAGGAAATTTATTTTTTTTATCTTTAGAATATTAATGAGATAGTCATATAAAATTTTAGAGCTGATAAAATAAGCATTCAGAATTTAAATGGGATTATCTGTCCAGTTGATTTTGATGGTATAGAAAACTTATTTATGCACAGCAAATTTTATACCCTAAATGGTGAATTTAATCACTATAGACATTGGCTAGTGTGTTATCATCATTCTGTCAGGACTTTATTTGTTATTTAATTGAAATTATTATTACTTAGTTGAATAGCAGGTGTAGGATAACATGTATAACTCATGAATGTGCACATGTTCATTGTCACATTGATGTGTGTGTGTGTGTGTGTGTGTATCTACTTTGTGATTTACAAAAAATAGGCAAAAATATACCTGACTTTCTTTGGGGCAAGAACGTGTTCAGTCATGCCTCTTAAAAGGGGAATGACATCTGGTTTGAAAGAGATAGCCTAGTGTTAGATCATATAGAGCAATGTGGGCCTAGATTAATATTTGAATTCTCATTCTAAACATAATGAGAAGTGATCAAATTATGTAGTGAATAAGGTTGCACATTCTGATTGGTTTTTAAAATGTGTTTTATTCACCTGGTTTATTTGTAGTTTGATTCCTTCATGGTCAAAAGGGATAGTTGGTAGGATTTCAATCTTAGTATACCTATTGATATTTGTCTGTGTCTCAGTATGTGGTCAATCCTTGAGAATGGTTCATGTGGTGTTGAGAAAAACATGTACTCAGATTTGTTTTTGAGTTGCAGTGTTCTATAGATGTCTATTAAGCCCATGAGGTCTAAGTCCTTGTTTAGAGCTTTAGTGTCTTTACTTCTTTTTTGTCTTGTTGATATGTCCGTTGTTGATAGTGGTGTATTGGGGTCTCCTACTATGTATGCATTTTCTCTAATATACATTTTTCACAGGTGACAATAGTTTCATAGGTGACAATAGTTTCCTGCTAAATGTTGGCACTCATTCCTTTACGCATGTTATGTCAATGAGTGTTATGTCTTCTTGCTGTATTGTTCCCTTAATAATAATGCAGTAGCCATCTGTGTCTTTTTAACCTTTTTTAGTTTGAAGTATATTTTATTTGATATAAGTAATATTTTATTTGATATAAGTAACAAGTATATTTTATTTGATATAAGTAATAAGGATATTTTATTTGATATAAGATATAGCTATTCCTGCCTTCTTTTTTGGTCCATTTGTGTGGAACAAAGAAAATTTGTTCAACAAATGATGTTGGGAAAACTGAGATGCTAAGTGCAAAAAAATGAAGCTAGATTACTACCTTGTACCATGCATAAAAAAAAATGAAATGTATTAAAGAACTAGACATGAGACCTGAAATCATAAAATATCTAGAAGAAAATGTGGGTGAAACACTACATGGCATACAACTCAATAACATCTTAAAAGATCTCCCAAAACAAGTATAGTGAAGGAAAGGATAAACATCTGGGACTACATCAAGTTAAAGAGCTTCTGTATAGCAAAGCAGACATTACACAAAACAAAGAGACACCCCACTGATTGGGAGAAATATTTGCACACAGTGCTAATGACAAAGGACTAATCACAAAGAATACAAAGAGCTGATGAAACTCAACAAAAATAAACAACCCCATCACTTTTCCAAAGAGGAAATGCAGATGGCCAACAGGCATATGAAAAAAAATGTTCAACATCACTTGTAATAAGGGAGCTGCAAATTACAACCACAAAGAGAGATTATCTCATGCTAGTAAGAATGGCACGTGTTAAAACAACTAGCAATAACAAATGTTGGCAAGGATGTGGCAAGAAAAGAACTCTCTTACACTGCTGCTGGGAATGCAAACTGGTACAATCACCATGGAAAACTTTTTGGAGTTTTCTCAATGTGCTAACAATGGAGTTTCTATGTGACCCAGCAATCCCACACCTAGGTATCTACCCAAAGGACACAAAAACTTTGATTCAAAAGGACATCTGCACCCCATGTTTATTGCTGCTCTATTTATAATAGGAGAATGTGGAATCAATCCAAATGCCCCCCCAGACTATAACTGAATTAAAAATATGTGGCACATATTCACAATGAAATAGTACTCAGCAATCCAAAAAGATAAACTCATGCCTTTGCAGCAACATGGATGGAACTGGAAAGGATCATACTTAGTGAAATAAGCCAGAAAGAAAAAGAAAACTACCAGATGGTTTCACTCATATCAGGAGTATAAGGGATCAGGAAAAAAAAAATCAGTTGTAATAAAGTAAAAATGAAAACAATGAACAATTGCAAACCAGAGACAATTTTACAGGAGTGGAAATGGGGTTGGGATCAAAACTGGAGTGGGAAGAGTGCACGAGGCTATATTGATGGCACACTAGTGAAGTGGTGGTATATGGGGATTACAACTGAGATGAAAAAAAGCACAAAATGAAGAATGATGTAAAAAAAATAAAAATAAATAAATTATGTTTAAAAATGACTGGAATACTGAGAGCTAGTAAAAGCTACTTTAAAAGTCTGAGGAAGACTTAATGACTTAAAATATAGGTTAACGATATTGAGGTAAAAGAAATGGTCAAATTTATAATGTACTTTGAAGTATATTGGACTATATTACTAAGTATTGGCATATGACTAAGAGAAAAAGAAAGCTTAAAAATGTTCTAAAGAATTTGAACTTAACATTAGGTATGTGGGTATGCCATTAAGAGCAAAGAAGCGGCATATTTGGAAATTGAGTAAAATTAATCTATTTTGACAAATTGATTTAAATGTACTTATCCAGGTGGAATAGTCAAGTATACAGTTTAGTATAAAAGTCTAGAGGTCAGAAAAGAGTGAGACATATAGTTGAATATTTAGATATCATTGTGCATAGACTATACTTAACATCCTAAATCAAAGCTTTAAAGAGTTAAAATAGGAATTAATGCAGATAGATATGACAAGAGAGATTGATCCTTGATGCTGAGGTTAATAAGAGAAAACATGACTTAAGAGCCTCCCTGATGGCACAGGGATTAAAGTCAGTGCTATGAAGCTCTCCACAGCCCCTGCAGCATGAGTTCATTCGCTGGCCAGGGAGGTGACCTATGTGGTGCAGCATACCTCTCCTGACCCACCCACTGCTCCCTTTAGCAGTGTATTTCAGATAATCCACATGTTCTACTTCCCACTCAGTCTCTAGTGAATCTGCTCACCCCCATCTCTGGCCTACATCCCACTTCTTATATGCATAAATAAATAAAGTTAAAATATATATTAATTAGAATGAGCACTTACTTGAAAGTCAGGGGGGAATCGTAGTTAAAGAGTGAAAAGATTGGGGATTTCCTGGTTTGGCTGTCATTGGCACTCAACACAGTAGGTCTTGGTCTTGGTTTCTGATAGAAGCCCAGTTGGCAACTAAACGTGGATCAAGATGTCAGGTGAAAAATTTGAATGAACTGCTGGAAAAAAGTAGGAGGAAAGTGCAAAAGGATTTATGCTTGTGTTTCTAATCTCAGCCATTTGACACAGATTTTCAGACATAGCCATTAAACATGATGCTATGTACTCTTGTTAGGACAGGTCAAAATAACATAGTGGTGAATGTTCCCTGTAGATGCTGTGTTGTTGTGGAAAGTGTCAGTCTGTTTTCTTGTCTCTTTTTTGTTGTGATTATTTACTGAATCAAAATCTCCTTGTTGCAAGCAAGTGGGTTCTACTTGTTTTTCATTTTTACTTAAGTTTTTTTTTTTTTTTCAGTTGATTTTTGGGCTACAATTAGTTTTGTTTTTCTTTTACTTTTTTTAACCACAGAATTTTAATTTTTTATTTTATTGTGTTAATCCTGATTTACATCGCTGTATGTGATTCAGAGGTAAGGTTTATATGTCCTCAGATCTGTATAACCATAGCACACCCACCACCAAGACACTCACATATCAGTAAAGATTACTTTGCAGTTGCTAGAGCAGTGTTCTTTCCTTGCTTATAAAATCATCCAAGTGCCCTGGTTCAGGATAACAACCCCCTAATGTCCTCAGGCTCCTGTTTCCCTTTTGTGCTTAGCACACAACTTCCATTCTCAATGACATCCTCTATTTTCCAAGTGGTGGTGGTTATTCCAGTTATTATATTCACATTTTAAAAAGAAAAAAGGACAAGACAGTGAGAGAAATAAATAACATCTGATGCCTAGACAAACACACTTAAAAGTATTTTAATGGAAATACCAATGATAACTAAGTACAGGGATTTCAAAGTTTTATTTTTTTTTTAACCAATTAAGGGTTCATCTATTTAGAAGGAAGGGAAAAGGGCGGTGGGGATAAATATTGGATAGGCAACTACCATCTTTGTCACAAAATGTCAAAAGACTTAGCAAAACTGTAATAGACCAATGACACTTTATAATTAAATATTTCTAAATTAGTGAGTTAATACAGCAGCTGTGTGTGTGATTTGCAAGTGTCCCTTCCCTGGAAATTTCACTTTTATTCTGGTTTTGTGTTGTTTTGCATTGTACATAATAACTTAAAATGTATGTTTTGTGCATAAAGAGGTACAGTAAACTTGAGATTACTCAGAATATCTTTATAGGATAATAACAAAAGAATAACTGGGAATAAACTTTGACTCTGGAAAAATACAAGAAAATGCAAATTAACTAGGCAAATAGCACATTTATGGACCCAATAAATCTCTAAAACTAGTTTAACTCATTTTCCATTTCCATTCTCCATCCACTTTTCAGAAGAGGTTAAAAGACCTTTAGAAAATCAG